ACTTTCCTGCATGTCTGCAACGTCCAACCCAGAGCTGCCGGCGGCAAAGGTGATGGATTGGGATGATCCCCAACCGGAACCGGGACCGGAACCGGAACCGGAACCAAAACCGGCACTTTCCTGCATGTCTGTAACGTCCAACCCAGAGCTGCCGGCGGCAAAGATGATGGATTGGGATGATCCCCAACCGGAACCGGAACCGGAACCGGAACCGGAACCGGAACCAGCACTTTCCTGCATGTCTGCAACGTCCAACCCAGAGCTGCCGGCGGCAAGAATGATGGATTAGGATGATCCTCAACCGGAACCGGAACCGGAACCGGAACCAGCACTTTCCTGCATGTCTGCAACGTCCAACCCAGAACTGCCGGCGGCAAAGATGATGGATTGGGATGATCCCCGACCGGAACCGGAACCGGAACCGGAACCGGAACTGGAACCGGAACCAGAACCAGCACTTTCCTGCATGTCTGCAACGTCCAACCCAGAGCTGCCGGCGGCAAATATGATGGATTGGGATGATCCCCAACCGGAACCGGAACCGGAACCGGAACCCGGACCAGGCACTTTACTGCATGTCTGCAAAGTCCATACCCAGAAGCTGCCCGGGCGCAAAGATCAGGGATGGGTATGATCCCCAACCGGAACGGAACCCGAACGGAAACGGAACCGGCACTTTCCTGCATGTACTGCAAACGTCCAACCCAAGAAGCTGCCGGCGGCAAAAGATGATGGATTGGATGATCCCAACCGGGAACCGGAACCGGAACCGGAACCGGAACCAGCATAGCTTTCCTGCATGTCTGCAAACGTCAACCCAGCAGCTTGCCGGCGGCAAAGATGATGATCGGGATGATGTCACCGGAAAAGGAAAACGGAAAAAACGGAACCGGAACCGGAAACGGAACCGGAACCGGACCCGGAACCAGCACTTTCCTGCATGTCCCGAGCTGCCGGCGGCAAAGATCATGGATTGGGATGATCCCCAACCGGAACCGGAACCGGAACCGGAACCGGAACCGGAACCAGCACTTTCCTGCATGTCTGCAACGTCCAACCCAGAGCTGCCGGCGGCAAGAATGATGGATTTGGATGATCCCAAACCGGAACCGGAACCGGAACCGGAACCAGCACTTTCCTGCATGTCTGCAACGTCCGGAACCGGAACCGCACTAGCTTTCAGCATGTCTTGCAACGTCCACCCAGGACCGAGCTGCCGCGGCGACAAAGATGATGGATTGGGATTGATCCCCAACCGGAACCGGACACGGGGGAACCGAAACCAGCACTTTCCTGCATGGTCCCGAGATGCCGGCGTGGGCCAAAGATCATATGATGGATTGATCCCCAACCGGAACCCGGAAACCTGGAACCGGAACCGGAACTGGAACCAGCACTTTCCTGCATGTCTGCAACGTCCAACCCAGAGCTGCCGGCGGCAAAGATGATGGATCGGGATGATCCCCAACCGGAACCGGAACCGGAACCGGAACCAGCAATTTCCTGCATGTCTGCAACGTCCAACCCAGAGCTGCCGGCGGCAAAGATGAGGGATTGGGATGATGCCCCCAACCGGAACCGGAACCGGAACCGGAACGGAACCGGAAAAGCACTTTCCTGCAGTCCGCAAAAGTCCAACCCACGAGCCGTGCCGGCGGCAAAAGATGATGGATTGGGATTGATCCCCAACCCGGAACCGAACCGCGAAACCGAACCGGAACCGGAAACCGGAACCTGGAACCAGCAATTCCTGCAGGTCCCGAGCTGCCGGCGGCAAAGATCCATGGAAGTGGATGATCCCCCCGCCGGACCGGAACGGAACCGGAACCGGAACCGGAACCGGAACCAGCACTTTCCTGCATGTCTGCAACGTCCAACCCAGAGCTGCCGGCGGCAAAGATGATGGATTGGGATGATCCCCAACCGGAACCGGAACCCGGAACCGGAACCCAGCACTTTCCTGCATGTCTGCAACGTCCAACCCAGAGCTGCCGGCGGCAAAGATGATGGATTGGGATGATCCCCAACCGGAACCGGAACCGGAACCGGAACCGGAACCGGCACTTTCCTGCATGTCTGCAACGTCCAACCCAGAGCTGCCGGCGGCAAAGATGATGGATTGGGATGATCCCCCGGAACCGGAACCGGAACCGGAACCGGAACCGGCAACGTCGGAACCCCAACCGGAACCGGAACCGGAACCGGAACCGGAACCGGAACCGGAACCGGAACGTGTGGGGGTCATAATGTGCGGACCAGACACCTATGCGGAATCCTACGCGGACACCTACGCGGATCCCAATGCGCACGGCGGCAGTGCCCGGAGCGCACTGGGGGGGGGGAGCGTTACGTCATAGGGGGGGGGGGAGCGGGGGCCATGACGCCCGTCATGCCCCAAGCAATAAAGAAACGGGCTCTTGTCTCGAGGGCATGGCATGGTTGAGCTTGGCGAGCCGGTCGTTCAGCAGGGGTGCCAAACTGGTACAGTGGCGCTCGTTGGCCTCGCGGCCTCGCGCGCAGGCTCGGGCGGGCTCTGCTGCCCAGGGAGCCCGCCTCTCTGCACGCGTGCCTGTGCGCTCGCGTGCGCGCGCGTGTGGATGAGCGGGGGGGGGGTGAATGCTGTGCTTGCGTGTGCATCTCGCCCATCGCCCCCCACGTGCTCGCATCGTCTGCAGAGCCCTGGCTAGCCGCAGCCCGGGCAGGCCACCCCTGGGGGACGGCCCCTCGGCGGCGCCCTCGGGCGGGCGCGGGCGCGGGGGGGGCGGCCGCCCCGCCCGCGGCGAGGGCGAGGGGGCGCAGAGGCGCGCGGGGGGGGGGGGGGGGCGGGGCGGGCGAGGTCGAGGGCGCGGGTCGAGGGCCGAGGGGTCGAGGGCCCGAGGGTTGAGGGCCCCGGGCTCGAGGCTCCGGCGGCCGAAAGTCGAAAATCGAAGGCCGAGGGGTCGAGGATCGAGGGCCAAGGATCGGAGGAGGAGGAGGAGGAGAATGAGGAAGAGGAGGAGGAGGAGGAGGAGGAGGAGGAGGAGGAGGAGGAGGAGGGGGAGGGGGAGGGGGAGGGCCGTCCGTCGAAGCCGCGCCGAGCCCACGTGGAAACCGCGGCGAGTCCAAGAGATGACCACCCTTTACTGAAGGGGAACTGGGACACACAAATAAATACACACAAATAACAAGATCCCCCATATTTTCCCATATTTTCTGGGCTTCTGTCTTCCCCCCCACTTCCCATATTTTCCTATATTTTCTGGGAATCGTCGATTAATTGTGTAAGTGTGTTTTTTCCCCTCCTGACAAGAGATGACCACCCTTTCCGGACAGACAGAGCCCCCTCTGAAAGATGCACCCCGACTGCCGGTGCGACCCCGACACAATCACGCCACGGGGCACCGAATCACATGGTCGAGTCCCCGAAATACGCAGGCCGGCCCGCCCCCCCTCGGGGCGGGCGCGCGGTGTTTGAACCGTCGCACGGGACACACTGGCCCTCGGCGCGGAGAGCCGGCGGGACCAAGGACGTGCCCGGTCCACAAGCCGGCCGCCGACGCGGGCACGCTGGCCCTGCATGACCGGCCCGAGCCGCCCTGGGCCGTCTGGCCTGGGGCAGCACGGCATGCCTTGCTTGGCGTGCGCAGCTGAGGGCGCACTGGCCCCTCGTTAATTTACGCGCACAGCGACAGCGCGCCGGCCGGGACGCACTGGCATCCCGCCGACCGCGCGCCGCGGGCCCACGGAGCATCCGCGAGGTGCCGCTGGCGGGACCGAGGACATGCTCGTTCCACCTGCCGGCCGCCCCCGCGGGCCGAAAGGCCAGCTTAGATTACTCACGGCCGCCCTGGGTTAAATGCCTGGGGCGCGCCGCGGGCCCACGGACCGTCCGCGACGCGCCGCCGGCGGGACCGAGAACGCGCTCGGTCCGCTTGCCGGCCGCCGACGCGGGCCGAAAGGCCAGGCCTGGATTGCCCTGTGCCGCCCGGGTGCCAGCCTTGGGTGGGCCGCCCAGGCCTTGTAGACTTGGGGTGGCCCTTCCTGGGGTCCGACTCCACGAATTCCCGATGCTTTGCTGTCACCGTTTGCCGCTAACAGGGGGGGCAAGCCGCCCTGGAATGGCGCGGGCGGGCGGGCTTCAAATTCCAAGGGCCCCCCCCCACACGGCCCTCGGCGCGGCTTAGGAGACAGACGGCTTTCGGGTCGTGTTAGTTTAGGCTCACCCCCCCCCCCACGCGCCCCCCGCGGCCAGCCACGCGCGCCCAGCCCGACCCAACCCAAAGCCGGGGCAAGCGAAACCAGCCGCGGGGGGCGCAGTGGAGGGGGGGTCCACCTGACGGCGCACCCCCTGACTTCCCCTTGGCCCTGACGCACACGCCGCCCAGAGACATCCTCCTCCCCCGACCCGCGGAGCCACGACCGCGGGCCCTCGGGCGGCGATGGTTACGGGCCCAGCCCGACACCCCGGAGGGCGGGCAGCGCCCCATACCCACCGCACGCCTCGAGGCCCCGCGGCGCGGCACCGCGGCGGCGGCCTTGGACGTGTCCAGGCGGAAAGAGGGTGAGCGAGGAGAGGGGAAGGGGGGCGCGCATCTTTTAGTGGCAAAGTCAAGGGGGAGGTGCCACGACACAATCACGCCACGGGGCACCGAATCACATGGTCGAGCCCCCGAAATACGCAGGCCGGCCCGCCCCCCCACAGGTAGTGTGAGGGCCGCCTGCCACCTGTAGTGTTGGCCGCTACACTCTAACTACCCCTGACTCGCCCTGCCCCGCGTGTCGCGGGCTTCTGCCGTTGGGGGGACGCGCGCCGCAACCGCTCGGTCCCGGGGCGGAGACAAGCGAACCGGGGACGGCGGGGGACGGGGACAACCCACCTTTGCGTTGGTTGCAGCGAACGCCCCCCCCGTATGTAGCCTCTAGCGCCTCCAGGGTGCTCGCCGTGCTGGGCGTCGGCGCGGCCCTGCCAGGCGCGGCGCTGCGGCGGCTGCTCCAGCGAGCCAGCCGGGGGGGGGCGCCAGCTAGCGGCGCGCGTCGGCGAGCCGCGACAGCGCGGTAGGGCCCGCGCGCGCGACGTCCAGGCCGAGCTTGCGCAGCGGGGCAGAGCGGACCCGCTCCTTTATGCCGTCGATGGGGACCGCGTAGAAGCCAACGACGACGTCGTTCGCGCCCAGCTTCGCGGTCTCTGGGGTGGGCACGGACTGCAGCCAGTCGATGGTCGCAGAGCCTCGGCTGCCAACTCCTCGAACGATGCAGGCCGCGTTGCAACGCGCGGCCCCTGGCGGCGCTCGCGGCGGCGTTCCCTGGCGCAGGGCCACGGCAGCGGTGCCGTGGGCGCGGGCGTGCGGCCGCGCTGCAACGCACAAGAGGCGCAGCAGCTCAGCGTGGCACTGCGTCGCGGCAGCCACGACGCCGGCGCGGCAGGCGCGGAGCCACCCGAGCGTGACATGCTTGTCATCCGAGTCGAACGCGATCGCGCCCAGGAGCGCCGCGAGGGTGCCTGCGCCCACGGAGCCCAAGCGCAGCGCGGTCAGGGCACGGCGTCGCCGGTCGTTGCGCGCCCAGTCCTCCTTGGCGGCCGCCACGGCAGCTGCCCAAGCCCCGGCGTCCATGCGGAACGAGGCGGGGAAACGCGGCTCTGCCGCACTGAGGCTGTAGCGCCGGGACAGTGCCGCTGCCTCGGCCTGCTTCTCCGGTTCTCCAGGTCGCGAGAAAGCGTCCGCGGGTTTGCTCTCGGACGCGACCCATTCGATCCACAATTCTACGCCGAGGACTCCCAGCAGGAGCCAGATCGCTCCGACGATGTCCTTGCTGTGATCGTCGTTGGCGGCGCCGCTGAGGATGTTTTCAAGCGCGGGCGCGTTGTCCTCGAAGAGGATCAACCGGGCCCCGCGGAGCTCGTCGGGGCAGGTGAGGAGCAGCACCAGTACGGCGAGCAGCTCGGACTGCGTGTTTCGCTGCTTCTTGCCGACCCTCAGCAGCTCCGCGCACAGGTGCTGCGGGATGCGCGCCGAGAAGCTGCGGCCGCTGCCTTGCGAGGACAACAGCATGCCCCCGATGGCCCCCGCGCCGGTGTCCATGTCCCATGACCCGTCGACCCATCCGAGGACGACGGGCCGCTGGTCGCCGTGGACGCGCCTGTGGTATATCGGGCAGCGCAGCAGCGCCTTCCACCACGCCAGCGCGTCAGCGAGGCGTTCGGACCAGCCGCCTCGGTGCGCCGACACGTTGGAGGCGTATACTCGGCCGATACGGCCGAACATTGCCGTGGTGGCGAAGCCCATCTGTCTTCCGAGTCCGGCCGCGTCGCGCCTGCTGAGGCGGCGCGCGCGAGACGCGGAGTCCACGTCCGCGGCCAGGTCGTCGCGCCGCTTGACGGTGAGGCGCAGTCCCGCCCAGTGCCCGGTGGAGATGACGTCCAGTCCGAGCAGATCCAGCACGGCCGCTGGTCCCTGGTTCTTGCCGTCCTTGAGCGGGATACCGAGCATGGCGTGCAGCTCCTGGAACACCCATTCGTGCAGGGCGGCCCACCTGGCCGGGGAGGCGCGGTGGAAATCGTCCACATACGCGTTCTGGGGCACGCTGAAGATGCGGCGGAGCGGGTGAATCACGCTGGCGGCGACGCGCGCGTACCCCCAGACTGCTCCGAAGGCCCCGAAGGGGAGCGCCTTGTGCGCGAAGGCGCGGAATCCGCCCTCTGGACCCACGGTGTCGCCCCAGACCAAGCACACCAGCAGTGGAATGTCATCTGGATGTACCGGCCATTGTCGGTAGGCCTGCGCGCGGTCGCCCTTTGCGATGAGGGGGGCGCCGTCATCGCCCCACTCGTGGAACTCCTCCGCTATGAACGCGACCGCGTCGAGGAGAGAGGCGACGCCTGCCATCCTCATGCGCTCCTGGGTGGCTGCTGCGAGGTCCAGGCCGCTTGCCGTGGCGTCGTCTATGGGCCGGACCTTGTATGAAGTGGCCGTGCGGTTCTGGACGCGCGGGAAGCGCCGCGTTGGTAATCATCTGGCAAACGGCACGGTGGAGCGCACCTGGCCGGCGTGGTCGAGCCATACTTCCCAGGGCCCATCGAGCTTGCCCGACACGCGCTCGGCCTCGGTGACCCGGAGGACCTCGGCCATGTCTGGCTCCCGCTTAGTGTTCAGGAGCATTTCCCAAAGTGCGGCATCTCTGTTGTCCAGTGCCAGCTCGAGAGCGCTGTCCAGCTCGGCGGCGCCAGGCAGATCTGCGCTGTCGGTGTGCTCGTAGAGCCGCGTGTCTGGGAGGACGCCCCGCATGCGGAAGCCCGCCATGATGTCGGCGATGACCTCCGTGTCGTCATGGCCGGAAGCCAGGAGCAGCTCCCTGTGCAGCGGGCCGTTGTATGTTGGCGGCAACACGTCTTTGACGTGCTGTGAGAGGCCGGCGCGCCAGGCGCGTGTCGCATCGCTCAGGGATGCCTCGGCGCGCCTCCAGTACTGCACCTGCCCGATTACCCAGCGTTCGTAGTCGGGGCAGTCGCGCGCCCAGAGCAGTGCGCTGCGGATGGGCGCTGGCGGGCGCACGGCGGGCGGTTCCGCCCACTGGGGCGCGGGCTGGCGTTGTTGCCGGTCCCAGGCCATGTCCACGTGCTGGTTCGGCGAGATCGCCCGCTGCTGCTGTGTAAAGCCTTTAGCTGCTCTGCCTGGCGCGGCAGGGCGCTGCGGCGGGGGGACAGTGTCCTCGGCGCACCACGGCGCGGTGTCTCTGCGCGCGCTTTGCTGGCTGCGCGGGTCGGCGGGCGGCGGCGCGTAGGGCGGCAGCTGGTTTGTGTCGACGGCGTCGAATTCTTGTTCGGCCGCAGGGTCGTGGAGCCTCGCTGCATAATCGACCATGGTGATGCCGCCGCAGGTGCTGCCCGTTTGGTCTGGGGCATTGGCGGCGCCGCCTGAGGACGCGAGGGTGCCCGCGCCGCGGTGCTGAGGCGGGCTGGCGCTCGTGCGCGGGCGTGGAGCTGGGTCGCCCTTCGTGGGCTGCGCGGTGCGCGGTGGCGGCCGCGGTGGCGCGGCTCTGCGGGCTGGTGCGCGCCCGCGGGTTGAGCTTCCGGCGCTGGTCCCGGCCGGTCGCCCCAGTGTGACACTGCGGTGGGTCCCGCTGTGGACGGCTTTGAGCCCAGTCGTCGGTGGCGGGGTGAAACTGTCGGCATGCTGCCGGTGGGGGCGCGGCTGGGTCGGTCGCGCTGCCGCGCGGTGCCCATGGTGCGCGGGCAAACGGCGGGGCGCGGCCGCTCGCAGGGCCGCCTGTCGTGCTCGGCTCCGGCTGCCCCTGTTGCGCGGAGCCTGCAGCCCCTAGTCACTCGTGGCGATACCAGCAGCGGTCGCCGTGCTGGCAATTCCCTTCGATGTGCCTTACGCACCACGCTCCTTTGCCGCCTCCTTTGGTCGGCTCGGGCTGGCCCGCCGCGGGGTGTGCGCGCGCGGTGCCTTTGCGCGCGCCCTTGCCCTTCTTGCTTGCCCCGGCCGGCTTGCCCTTGCCGGCGGCTTTGCCTTTGTCGCCGCGGTGTTCCGGGCCTGCGGGCGCAAGCTGCTGCAGCCGGTTCTGCAGCCGCTGTGCTTTCGAGAGGCGCCTGCGCTCGGTTGGTGGTTGGCCCGCGTCTGTCAGGGCGAGGGGCGGCGCGGTCATGATGCTGCCCGCCATGCCGGCGTGGGCGGCTTGGGCGCCGCCGTTGGTACCGAGCGTGGGCGCCCGGGGCTGCGCGACGAGACGCGGCGCCATGGCGAGTGCGACGTCGAGGTCGCTGTTCTCTGGGGGCATGGACGCGAGGATCGCGTCGTCGATCGTGTCCCCGGCCTTCGACGCCTTGCGCCACTGGTTCTGACACACCAGGTACGCCTCGTAGTACTCTGCGACAGAGAGGTTCCGGTACCCCGGTCGCGGCGCGCGGTTCTTGCGGACCTTCGCCCAGAACCTCTGGTGGAAGACGTCCAGGGACTTGATGTCCTTGACCCACCCTACGAGAAAGATCAAGTTCTCGATGATGTACGCCCACGTCTCGAGGTCTTCCAGTGTGTCAGGTGGGGCCTCCTGTATGGCTGGGAGCCTCCAGGCGAGCGCCCCGTTCTGGACGGGCCCCAGGAAGCTGGCGAGGCCGGTCTTCTTGCCGATTTCCTCGGATTGGACCTTGTCCGCAAGCAGGGGGACGAACTCCTTCTGGACGCGGCGCAGGCGCTCGTAGCGGCCCCAGAAGCGGGCGCTGGGTAAGCGGGCGTCCTCGACGTCGTGACGCCTCGCCTCGAAGAGGGCCTTCAGCCGCTTCTCGCGGCAATCCGGAATCAGCTCGTAATAGTCTTCGTGGCCCGGATCCTTCGCCTCGATGGGCGCCACCTCCTCCTGGTCGGGAGGCTTGTTCGCGGCCTCTGTGCTGGCGGCGTAGCACTTCCGGTAGAAGCCCAGCGTCTTCGCCCACGCCGCAGACCCCTTCTTCACGATCTCGGGGAGCGCGCCCGCGACGGTTTCAACGAACATGATGTCCACGGGCTTCACTACGGTGGCGCCCGCATGGTCGCGCAGGTACTCTGGGGTGACGGAGTCGGCCACCGTTCCGTGGTCAGTGAGGCCATTGTTGGTAACCCACGCCTGCGCATAGGTCGAGAATGCGCAGAGGCAGTTGCGCTGCATCTTTCAGAGGGGGTCGCAGAATGCGCAGAGGCGCGCGGGGAAGGGGGGGGGGGGGGACGGGCGGGCGAGGTCGAGGGCGCGGGTCGAGGGCCGAGGGGTCGAGGGCCCGAGGGTTGAGGGCCCCGGGCTCGAGGCTCCGGCGGCCGAAAGTCGAAGATCGAAGGCCGAGGGGTCGAGGATCGAGGGCCAAGGATCGGAGGAGGAGGAGGGGGAGGAGAATGAGGAGGAGGAGGAGGAGGAGGAGGAGGAGGAGGAGGAGGAGGAGGAGGAGGGGGAGGGGGAGGGGGAGGGCCGTCCGTCGAAGCCGCGCCGAACCCACGTCGAGACCGCGGCGAGTCCAAGAGATGACCACCCTTTACTAAAGGGGAACTGGGACGCACAAATAAATACACACAAATAAAAGGATCCCCCATATTTTACCATATTTTCTGGGCTTCTGTCTTCCCCCCCACTTCCCATATTTTCCTATATTTTCTGGAGATCGCCGATTAATTGTGTCTGTGTGTTTCTTTCCCTCCTGATTTACGGACAGACAGAGCCCCCTCTGAAAGATGCAGCGCAACTGCCGGTGTGACCCCGACTCCATCCACAATGGGATCGGCTACGCCAAAATGCGCAACACTCGAAATACTGGAGTCGATTCGAATCGAACCGGCCACATCGGGCCTCGTCAAAATAGAGGCATCGAATCGGATCGAACCATACGGAATCGATACCGAATCGTATTGATCGGATCGGAATTGGCCCAGGATGGTTGAAGGAAAAAAACAACAAACACAAAAAAACAATAAGAAAATAAAACAAAAAACGCTGGCCGGCAACGCTGGCCTTGCACATGCGGCAATCTCAAGACGCCCCTCCGAACCCAGAACCAGGCCATGAAACCGGAAGCACCCACGGCTACAGTCGCACGTGGATCATCCAGAGGCCACGCACGGGATACAGCTTTCCCTCGGCGGCGAGGCAAAGGCAAGCCCAGCGTGTGGCCATTCGGGGCAACCGAGAGGCGAAGTGTCCAGCGTGCAAGAGGAAGGAAAAAAGGCGAGGGCGGCCGCGCGGGGGGGACGGGGCGGGGAGAGCGCTCCGACGCGGAAGAGTTCCGCACTGACTTTGACGAAGCGGCAGGGGGGGGCGAATCCACCTGACAGGCGCCGCGGGAAAAGAACGTTAAAAAAAATGACGAAGCGGAGCAAAGAGAGCAGGCGCCCGCCAGGTAGTTAAGCACGGCCGGCCTGTGGACCTCAGTGCGACTCCGCCTCCCCTGCCCACGCCTTCGTCCACGGACAGGCGCCCGGCACTGCGCGGGGACAACCCTCGAGAGCGGTCGCGGGGGGCGCCCCTCCTCCTCCTCCTCCTCCTCCTCCTCCTCCTCCTCCTCCTCCTCCTCCTCCTTCGCTGCCTCATGTTCCTCGTCCCCCTCGCCGTCTTCCGCCCCACCGTTCCTCCCCCTCGTCGTCATCCCCACTTCATCATCCTCATCATCCTCCATCGCGTCATCCGCCCCCATCGCCCCCATCCTTCTCCCTGCCGTCCCTATCCCTGTCCTTCTCCCCCCTCTCCTCCCTCTCCCTCCTCCTCCTCCTCCTCCTCCTCCTCCTCCTCCTCATCATCATCATCATCATCATCATCATCCTCATCCTCATCCTCATCCTCATCCTCCTCACCACACCACCGCCACCACCACCACCCTCCTCCTCCTCTTCCTCCCCTCCTCCTCCTCATCCTCCTCCTCCTCCTCCTCCTCCTCCTCATCATCATCATCATCATCATCATCATCATCATCAGCATCATCATCATCATCATCAGCATCATCATCAGCATCATCATCACCATCATCATCATCATCCTCATCATCCACATCCTCCTCCTCCCCCTCCTCCTCCTCATCCTCATCAGCATCATCCTCATCCTCAACCTTATCCTCATCCTCCTCCTACCCCTCTGCCTCATCCTCCGCATCGTCATCCTACGCACTATCCTCTCCTCCTCAATCATCATTCCGTCTCCTCCTCTTCTTTCTCCTTCCCAGTCCCCCTCCTCCTCCTCCTCCTCCTCCTCCTCCTCCTCCTCCTCTCCTCCTCCTCCTCCTCCTCTTCCTCCTCCTCCTCCTGCACTTCATCTTCCTCATCATCTTTCTCATCACAACAATCATCAAAACAATCACAGGCGTCATCATCAGCATCAGCATCAGCATCAGCATCATCACCACCACCACCACCATCAGCATCATCATCACCACCACCACAATCAATATCATCATAGTCATCAGCATCATCATCCGCATAATCATCATCATCATCAGCAGCAGCATCATCATCATCATCATCAGCAGCAGCATCATCATCATCATCATCATCATCATCATCATCATCATCATCATCAGCAGCAGCATCATCATCCTCCTCATCATCATCATCATCATCATCATCATCATCATCATCATCAGCAGCATCAGCATCATCATCATCATCATCATCATCATCCGCAGCAGCAGCAGCGTCAGCATCATCGTCATCAGCATCAGCAGCAGCATCATCATTACCATCAGCATCACCATCATCACCATCATCATCATAATCAGCAGCATCATCATCATCATCATCAGTATCATCTTCAGCAGCAGCATCGTCATCATCATCATAAGCATCGTCAGCATCAGCAGCATCAGCAGCATCGTCATTATCAGCATCATCAGCATCAGCATCATCAGCAGCATCAGCATCAGCATCGTCATCATTAGCAGAATCAGCAGCAGCATCAACAGCATCAGCATCATCATCACCATCAGCATCCGCATCCGCATCAACATCAACATCAACAGTGGCATCATCATCAGCATCACCGCCGCAGTCATCATCGTCACCAATATCATCACCTTCACTCTTTCGCCGTCGGCATCACCATCATCATAATCATCAGCAGAGGCATCATCACCACCACCACCACCATCAGCAGTAGCATCAGCTGCAGCATCATCACCATCGCCACCAACGCCACAATCATCCTCATCATCAGCATCCTAATCATCCTGATCACCAGCAAACTCATCATCAGCATCATCATCATCGTCATCATCATCAGCATCATCGTCATCATCATAATCAGCATCAGCATCACCACCACCACCACCACCACCATCAGCATCATCATCACCACCACCACCATGATCATCATCACCACCACCATGATCATCATCACCACCACCACCATCATCAGCATCGTCACTATCCTTATCATTCACCTCGTCCTCCCCGGTCTCATTCACCAACTCCTCCTCCTCCTCCTCCTCCTCGAGCAAGTGGGAGGGCTGCAACGCTCGCGATCCTCTTCAGGCCCTCCGCGTCGGCGTCCCAGAGCATGTCGTGCAGGAAGACCCTCGGGGCGCACGCGTGCCCTCATCCTCCTCCCTCCTCCTCCTCCCTCCTCCTCCTCTCCTCCTCCTCCTCCTCCTCCTCCTCCTCCCTCCTCTCCTCCTCCTCCTCCTCCTCCTCCCCCTCCTCCTCCTCCTCCTCCTCCTCCTCCTCCTCCCTCATCCTCCTCCTGGGGGGTCGTCCTCCTCCTCATCCTCCTCCTCCTCCTCCTCCTCGTCCTCCTCCTCCTTCTCCTCCTTTTCTTCGTCTTCCTCCTCCTTTTCTTCGTCCTCCTCCTGGGGGGGATGGTTCAGGGTTGCTCTTTGGTCCGCACCTGGCTGATGACGGGAGGCGCGCTCAGACTCGAAGAGTCGCGCGACGGACGGGAGGGACACATTTTATCAACTGGGAAGTCCAAACAAGGGACTGATTCGGGGTTGCTCCGTGATCCGCGCCTGCCGGATTCCGTCGGGAGGCTATCAACGTGGAATGAATTTCCAGGTTGAGGTTCAAACATGTGTTTACACTGGGCTGCTCGGCCGTCACGTAACGTAGAAGAACCATTAACCCACTAATGTGGAGCATCTCCACGTTAAGCGTGTGCTCGTTTCTTCCGCGCTAATCCTCAATGAGGTCCACTTATCATGGGAGAAAATCGATGGGCAGCCTGAGCGTGACATTTCCAAGTTAACCCCATAACGGAGTATATCCACGCGAATGCCCCCCGAAGATGAGAAGATAGTTCGTGTGTGAAAGAGAAAGGAAGATAAATGAGAGAGAGAGAGAGGAAGAAAGAGAGAGAGAGAGAGAAAGAGAGAGGATGGATAGTTCGGAAAGCTATAGCTCAGTGGAACAAGCGAAAGTGTTCGAGACTGTTGTTTTCGAGTGGATGTCCGATAAGCGCAGCTGTTCATCATCGGTGTCGGTTGAAATACGCCTTGTGACACCTCCTACTCACGATATGTGGGGGACTCTTGGACGAGGAGGATGAGTAATAGCAGCAGGATCAGGACCAATATCAGGAGCAATCTACTTACATACTGCCTACGTACCCCAGTTCAGCGCCGCGTCTGAACTGGTGCGGGTACGTAATGAACTTGACCTGTTTTCGGAAGACTCGCAGGACGGCGAGGTCAAGGAGGCGTAGGAGGATGATCAGCAGCGCGAGAATCGGAAACGATATCGGGAGCAGTTCACCACGCTAATTCAGCGCACCGTCTGAATCTTGTGAAGGTCGTAAACTCCACCCGTTACCCTTTGTGGACTTCCGGTGCTGGAGGAGGAGGAGGAGGAGGAGGAGGAGGAGGAGGAGGAGGAGGAGGGGGAGGAGGGAGGAGGAGGAGGAGGAGGAAGAGGAGGAGGAGGAGGATGGCGGAGGAGGAGGAGGAGGAGGTCACTGCGCAACGCTTCGAACTCCCGCGCGCCCCGTGCCGCCAACTCCGGTCGACCTTGCACGCCTGCGCTGGCGCCACCGCCGCGTCGACGCGGCCCGAGCCCGTCGTGCCCCTCCCGCCCGCCCCAGCCCACCGCCCCCATCGGATCGGCACTCGCACCGGCTCGGGCCGCGTCGGCAAGGGGCCAGCATCGCATCGCATCGGCCCCCCCGATCGGCACTCGCCTCGGCCCGGGCCGCGTCGGCGTGGCCGCCAGCATCGCACCGGACCGGCCGCGCGCCGGGATGCGCAGCAGCACCTGGCTGCTGCGAACGCGCGCGAACGGGTGTGCGCGGCACGGTGCACGTCGGAAGCACCGCCTGGAAAAGTGCAGCGGCGGTGGACCAACCTCCCGTTGGTAGACCTCCCCTTTCGTGAAAACGGCCTGGGAGCGAAACCGGCGGGCCTGGACCCGCAGAGACGACGGCCGCGACGCCCCCTCGCGAGCCCAGAACGGCCAACTCCTTACTCCAGATTTCGTAATAAAAGAGAGGGGGTCTGGACACTCCAAGACAAGCCATTTCAGACCTCCCCCGTGGGAGAACCCTCCAAAACATCGTCCCCAGACCCCCCAGGCCCTCCAAGATAGCCTGGAAGAGACCCCCCCCCCGAAATGAGACCCCCCTCCCTTTCTTACGAAATCTGGAGTAATCGACGTGCCAGGGTGGGAGGCCTGCTCCCCCCCGAAGGCAGCGCCCTGCGCCCGTGCAGCCGCTGCGGCAGGCCGCTGGGGGGCCGAGGCGTGCGGCGCCGGGGCCGGAGCCCCATCCTGAGAGCGGTGCGCTCCCCCTCCCCGCACCCAGACCCCCGACGTCGTGATTTTTTCGCGACGTCGCCCCCCAGAGGTCTGGACCCCTTCCCCGGGACCGGTTTTTCGTCCTGCACCGTTTTGTTGACGGTCCCGAGGCCCGGGAAGGGCCCCCAGAGGGCGAAAATAGCGAAAAACCTCCCGTCGTGGTTTTTTCACGACGCCAGGAGGTCTGGGCACCGCTCCGCCCCGGTGCCTGTTGGGAGCTGCGGGCTTTCGGATGAGAGGTTGTGCGTGGGGAGCTCCCAGCGAGACACCCACACCCAGCGCGCCCTGCCGCCCCGCCTGTGGTTGCACGGAGTGGAGGGGGTGTACCTCTGAGGAAGAGGGACGGAGGAGAAAGGGGGGAGGGAGGGGGAAGAGGAGGGATGAGAAGAAAAGAGGGAGGAGCAGGGATGAGAAGAGAGGAGGAGGTTGGCTGGAGGAGGGAGGGGGGGGAGAGGAGGACGAGAAGGGAGGAGGGGGAGGAGTAAAAGAGAGGAGAGGAGGGAGGGGGGAGGGAGGGAGGAGGAAGAAACGACGACGACGACGGGGAGGAGGGAGGGACGCCCGCCGTCGCTACGGGCGCCGCGCCGGTGGGCGGCCGGAGTCTCCTGACGGCCGAGAATCCGAGCACCTCCCGCATCGCCTGCACCTCGGCCGGGGTCGGTCGGCGGCGCGCACACGGGGGGGGCACGGCAGAAGGAAGCGACTGGCGGGCACTCCCCCGCTCCCCCGAACTCGGGGCTGGCACGCGCGGGGAACTCTGCGGCCGAAGGGCAGCTCGCACAACCCGCCGCCAACATTGATCATCGTGGGGGGGGCGCTGGCAGATGAATGCGGCATACGAGGGCTCGCCAATTCTTCCGAGGCCCATGGAGAGGTAGGAGGAGGCCGATTCTTAGAAGGCGCCGGCCTTGCGTGTACAGACAAGGCCAGCGCCTTCGAAGAAGCAGGGGGTGCTCTTGAGGAGCCTTCCCCCCTGCCCCTACAGCAGGAGCTCGACCACCCACAAGAAATCCAGCTCTGAGACCCAAGGATGTCCATTGATTTTTGGTGTGGGAACGTCACGCCTTCCATCGCAAAACCATCGAAAGCCAAGAAACCCAGGGCATCCTGGAGGCAAGCAGGGTGGTTCTTGGAATGGGCTTCTACTGTGCCACTAGCCCCCCTCTGCGCGCCGCTGCGTCGAGGCAACTCCTGGAGCTCCCGCGTCTAGAGGAACAAGAAACTGCACACAGATACACGTTCGGAGGTCCGCGTGGACCTCCGAAAACTTATATTTTTCTATGCCGCTGTGCGGTCTTCGAGACTGTCCGCTTCTCCCCGAGGCCAGAGTTTCTGCATATCTGCCGCCTCGGGAGCCGATGTCCCAGGCCCCCAGGAGGCAGTCAGTGTGGATAGCTTCGGGCCATGGGGAGACCGAGTAGACCAGCACTCCATCTGCATTGCCTCCTGCGGCCCTTGGACATCGGCTCACGAGGCGGTGGACATGGCTCGATCAGGAAGCCTGGCATCCCCCAAGCAACTAGATGTAGGTCGGGCACGTCCTCCTACAGACGGCTCTTGGCAGAAGCATCAAACATATGAAGAGGCCCTGGGACACACAAATAAATACACGCAAATGAAAAGATTCCCAATAGTTTCCCATATTTTCTGGGTTTTTGTCTTCCCCCCCACTTCCCATATTTTCCAATATTTTCTGGGGAATCGAAGATTAATGGTGTCTGTGTGGTTTTTTCCCTCCTGAACATAGTCTATCATAAAAATAGCCAAAGGTAGTCAAAGGAAATCGCCCCCTGACTATTCTGTGGCTGTGCTTTTAAAGGTCCCTCCTGCGGAGGGACATGCCCGACTTCCCCAACTACAGACGGCCCTTGGCAGACGGCCCTTGGCAGAAACACCAAACATACTCTATGCCTCTTCATCAGATTAGCCAAAGGTAGTCACAAGAAAATCGCCCCCTGACTATCTTGTGGCTGTGCTTTTAAAGATCCCTCCTGCAGAGGGGCGTGCCCGCCTTCCCCAGCTGTTACTGAAGGGCCCCTTCGCCGGCCTCCGCTGGCTCCACCACACACACACACCCCACGCTCTGCTCTCGCCGCCTGCCGCCACGCCTCCCCGCCCCGGGGGAAAGCAAAAATAAAGGGGCCCTGGGACACACAGAAGTAAATACACACAAATGCCAGGATTCCCAATCTCTTCCCATGTTTTCTGGGTGTTTGTCTTCCCCCCCCCCACTTCCCATATTTTCCCACGTTTTCCTGGGAGTCGACGATGAATTGTGTCTGTGTGTTTTTTCCCCTCCTGAAAAAGTCCACGGCAGCTCCCCTCTCGGGCCCTCGGTGCGAGGGGCCGCTTCCCCTGGAACGCCCCCCGCGTGCGGGAGCTCCCCGACTTCTCGGACTCTCGCTCCTCAGCCCACCCCATCTCGGCTTCTCCGGGTCACCCCTTATCGCGATCTTGTCGTGATGGTTTTTTCTTCCTCCAGCTGCGGCCGCGGCTGCGGCTGCGGTCGCGGCGACGCGGACGCGGCTGGGAGGGGGAAGCTACCGCGATGTGTTCGCGGTGGTTCTCTTCCTCCAGCCGCGGCCGCGGCTGCGTTCACGGCCCTGGCCGCGGCTGTGGCCGCGTCTGGAAGGGGAAACCATCGCGGCCTTTTTCGTGATGGCTCCCTTCTTCCAGCTGCGGCCCCGGCTGCGGCTGCGGTCGCGGTGACGCGGCTGGCTGGGAGGGGGAAACTATCGCGAATCTTGCGCGGCTGCGCTTTTTTCGGACAGCTGCGGCCGCACCTGGGAGGGGGGAACTATGGGAGGGGTACGTACAGGGCAGTTTTTAACACATGGGACGGTTTGACATAGGGGATGTTTGATACATGACCAATATATATATATATATATATATATATGAGTACATTTCTGCATGAGCTCATAGCTGTTTTTACTACTGAATCCCTGCATTCTTAATACATGATCCGCACGCGGAGCATGCATTAAAAACGGCACTGCAGCAGAGAGGGGGAGGGCGGGCTCGGCGCACGGGCTCGCCTGGCCAGTGCTCCCCGCGCCTCTCGGCCCCCGGGGCCGCGCGGCCACCGCGGGCGTCGAGAGCGAGGCGCTGGGCGGCGGGGCCGCCGTCGGCCGCACGCGGCAGACTTCGTGATGTAAGGAAGATGGCGAGAATAATTGGAGGCCTGGAAATGGGCACCAACACCAAGACAGGGGGTTGCCTCCACAGGGGGAAGGTGATCCTAGACTTCGGTGTTGGTGATAATACTTCGGTCACCTTGGAAGCCAGAATATTACCACCATCACCGAGATCGGAATCTTCTTCCCTCGGTAAAGACACACCGCTGACATTGGTGCTGGTGTCAACCTCGAGGCCTGCGAAATAATACAGGGCAGTTTTTAATACATAGGATGTTTGAAAATAGAGGATCTTAGATACATGATTAATGTATGAATACATGTCTGCATGCACTCATCGTTGTTTTTAATACTAAATCCCTCCATTTTTTAATGCACGATCCGCACGCGGAGCATCCATTAAACTCGGCACTGTAGAGGGAAGCTGGGCAAAGTGGAAGCTGGGAAATCGGTGAAAGTGGAAAAGTGGCCAGAGCTGGAAACACTGGCAGTGGGTGACGCGGGCCCGAAACAGCTAGGGATGCGGTCGCCAGGGCGGCAAGCAGGCAGTTTCCTGTCCTGGGGCCCGTTTGCTGATCGCCATCCCGAGCGCCGCTGCGTTAACACGACCCCCGGCAACTTCTCAGTCATTCTCTGGCATTCCAGTGGGCACAAACGATGAGAAATCCTGCTGCAAGAGATCCTCCTCCTCCTCGTCCTCCTCCTCGTCCTCCTCCGACTCCTCCTCCTCTTCCTCCTCCTCCACAAACGATGAGAAACCTTGCTTCGAGAGATCCTGGGGCTCCTCCTTCGTCGACCCCTGCGCTTCGCAGGGGAGCCCCAGGCCCCCGCGGCCCCATCGCGGGGTCAGAAAATCCCACGGGGCACCCGTTGACACATCAATCTCTTGTTTGGTTTGCGCACCGTACCCCCTCCCGTTTCCCTGCCCCCTCCCCCCCCCCTTGGGCGGGGGGGCCCAAACGGTGCGGTTCGGCGGTGGACAAACCTCCCTTTAGTAGACCTCCCCTTAGTGAAAACGGCCTGGGCCCGAAACCGACGAACCTGGACCCGCAAAAATGACGGCTGCGACGCCCTCTCGCGAACCGAAAACGGCCAATTCCTTAATCGACGTGTCAGGGTAGGAGGTCTGTCCACCCCCGAGCGGTGACGGAGCGTGCGGTGACCTCGGAAACCCCAAAGACCTCACCGCACGGTCCGTCACCGCACCCTTTGGGGACCCTGGACCGTGCGGTCAACCCAAATCCCCACCGACCCGCCACACGGGGTGGTCACCGCACCGCACCTTTCGAGATGGCGGCCGCTGCTGGCCCTGGACCCACCACCTAAGGCAACGTCACGCTTCGCGGGTCATTCCCAGGGACATGACACTCCCAGACGGCCCCGGCGCGAAACGTGACGTGACGGGCCCCCACTGCGAGGCCGGGAGTTATCCACATTCACCGCCCGGGAACCGACGTCCTGGTGCCCCAGCGGGCGGTGGATATGGATACATGTTGGCCCCCGGGGGCCCGAATACGTCCATATCCACCGTTAACTCCTTGCTGCACGCAAGAGTGGCCCTGGGTGAGAGTGACTTTTGGTGCGAGTTCTTCTGGGGGCCGCGGGGGGGCCAAACACACGCGCGCAAGGCGCTACCACCGTACCGCACTCGGCGAGCGGGGGCCCCGGTGGGCGCGCACCAGAGGCCACTCTGGCGGAAAGGTTCCTCTTACGTGCAGGATCCAACTCCACCATGGTGACCATGCAGCTTTACATGCTCCATGGTGGCAGGTTCAGCCGGCCGACACAGCTTGAGGGCCAGACTGTGCGAAAGAAAGAGAAAGGACATGGGAAGGAGTGCCGCGGGGAGAGACAGAGAGAGAGAGAGAGAGAGCGAGCGCAGACAGACAGGCAGACAGACAGGCAGGCAGGCAGACAGGCAGACAGGCAGACAGACAGGCGCAAACGCTGCATGCAGAAGAATCGCTGACACCTCCCGATCGAGCGCACAGCGGCGGCCCTGCGTAGAGCCCCCCTCGGCAGGGAGGAAGACGAGTGCGGTCGCCCACCCAGCCCCCCGGCCGACGGCGAGCCACGCGATGCTCCGGTCTGCTCGGCAACGCCCTGCTCGCCAACCCGCCCTGCTCGCCAACCGGCGTGCTGCCGCGCGAGGGCCCAACGGAGAGCACGGTGCGGACCAGCACCCACAGCCCTGCCCTTACAGGCGGATCTTGGAGGAAAAATTGAAAATTGCCCCCCCCCCAAAAAAAAAGTTCATATAAACATTCGAAAGGTTCCCTTTATAGATATTCGAAAATATTCCAAAAATCGTCCCCAGACCGTTCTTGTACTACTTTGATTGTTCCCCCTGTAGAGGGACACGCCCGACTTAACCCTACGATCTGTGCGCGCCGCTGCGGACCTTCCCTCCTCGAGCGTGTGCGGCCGACACCGGCCGCGGCCGCCAGGTGAGGCGGGCAGCAAGCATCACCAGCAGGGCCCACAGCAGCCACGACTGGGCACCGACGTTGCGCGCGAGGCCCACCCGCCGGAGAGAAGCCGCGGCATCTGGACGCACGCGCTCCTGAGCCACAGCGGCCACGGAGGAGCCGCAGCAGTGGGCAAGCCAAGAGGCGCCGTTGCCGCCACTCCCTGGACCTCCGCCGGGGAGCATGCCGACCAGCACTCCGAAGCGAGTCCAGCCGAGGCGACGAGAGCCTCCCAGGAGGCCCCAAAAAGGCGATAACGAGGCGAGGGTGGCGGGATCGGTACTCCAGATTTCGTAATAAAAGGGAGGGGGTCTGGACCCTCCAAGACGAGCCATTTCAGACCTCCCCCGTGGGAGAACCCTCCCAAACATCGTCCCCAGACCCCCCCAGGCCCTCCAAGATAGCCTGGAAGAGACCCCCCCCGAAATGAGACCCCCTCCCTTTTATTGCGAAATCTGGAGTAGTTATCTCCTCTGCCTCGGAGGGGCCGCAGCCGCAGGAGCACGGGGAGGACGAGGAGAGCGCACGCCACCGAGCGGCGGACGTCGCGAGGCCCCCGCCCCGAGAGCGCGCAGGCCAAAGGAGGGGTGCTCGGCCCGGCGCCTCGAGGACCACATCCGGGCGGTACTGCGAGTAGTTGTGCCACCTGCAGGGGGGCAGGCAGGGAGCGACTGCTGCAGCGCAGCTGATGAGTGTGAGTCTGGCTGGCCCAAGAGGAGGTCCCGCTGAGCGGGGGTGCACCAGCTGTGAGGCAGCATGCATGCAAACGTCTTGCGCCAGGAAATCGTCTTGCGTTGTGCTGCGGCTCATGCATGGCACGCGAAGATCCAGCAATGCATGTGCGCACCGGCATGACTTGCACGCCCCAGATCTACTCGAACCCACAAATCTCTCGCACCGAATCCATGGCACCGCCCCCTTTCAGCTGGAACCCCCTCTGGGGTCAACCAGACTGAGGCCGACCCGCGCTCGGCACCGCGGGCTCGCAGGAATCCACAGGCCCAAAAAAAGAGGGTTCAGAAACGAAAGGGCCTGGCGGCCGCGGCGTGCAGCCGCCACTCGGCGAAGACGCCAGGGCGGGATACCCAGGGAGCCCCAGGCCTGGCGGCCGCGGCTTCCAGGATGTGCGAGGCTACTCTGGAGCTCTGGTGTGTAGATCTAACAACCTCCGCCTGTCGGACTAAACACAGACACACGGAGTACAATCGAAATGCTGATTGATGCATGTGTGATCTCGGGCATTGCGCTTTGGATCGATCCGGCATCCGACCCCTGCCAAGCTGCCCATAGCGTTGCAGATCAGCTTGGGACTGAGCATGGGCTCCGCTCACTTATCTCAGCAGATGTGCTCAGAACGAGCCCTTGTGGCCAAAGTGCAGGTCCTAGAAGCACCCTGCCGCAGCGCCACAACAATGTTCAACGCCCAACTCGGCAACGCGCACAACTTTGCAACTACCAACTTGGCTACCCTCGCAGAGAGCCTTGCAGAACGCCGCTTCTTGCTGATCCCCGCAGCCCAGCAGCGCAAGCGACAGGCACACAGATAGCGGCAGGACCATTCCTCCAACAGTCTGCGAGCGAACCGACCAGCACGTGCACTGCGGGGCTGCGTCTGATGCCACCTGCAAGCATCAGTCCAAGGCACGCCCTGCGGAAGGCACCTTTACGCCACAGCCATGCCCAGCCAGGGCCAGGCGTGGCCGTGGCACACAGATGCTGGAAGCGGAGCACCAGCGAGAGCAGCAGCCTCGAACGCTGGATCTGGACCGCCCAGCCTGGCCGAAAGGATCCTCCTCCCCATCCCTCGCCTCCTCCTCCCCCTCCTCCTCCTCCTCCTCCTCCTCCTCCTCCTCCTCCTCCTCCTCCTCCTCCGCCCCACATCGATGGCATCCCCTGCAGCTCGCAGGAGCCCGTCGCCAGCGCAGGCACCGCCAGTCCTCGGCGGCGGCCCACCCCAGCTCCACGGAATCGGGCGCGGGCAAGACCGCCGTCGAACAGAGCGGCCTCCCTCCAGGTGGCCCTCCGGCGGGGGGGAGGAGTTCTGCCGCCTCAACTCACAACAGGGCGGGCGCGGGCGCGGTGCGGACGCCTCAGGAGGAGGAGGAGGAGGAGGAGGAGGAGGAGGAGGAGGAGCGAGGAGCGAGGAGGAGGAGTTGGGCGAGGCGGACGAGGAAAGCAGGCCGGGTGCGCTCGCGTCGAACGCCGGACGTCCTGCCATGCCACCCCACCCCCCGGGCAGTACGCAGAGCCCCCGTCCCTAGTCGCGCAGTCGAGTGTCGAAGAGAGCAACGGCCCCCAGGGGTAAGGTGGCGAAATCTATACATATCCACTGCTCCCTGGCCAGGCCCATTCTGAACCCAGCAGCGGTGTACACGTCACGCCCCCCTGGCTCGGCCAGGAGGGCGTATACACAGCTCCCAGGTTCAGGCTGGGCCTGGCCGGGGAGCAGTGGATATGTATAGATTTCGCCGCCCGAAGGGGGCACGCGATGCATGGTCAAGCACTGCATATCATAGCATTGCAGCGCAAGGCATGGCATGGCACCGCCTGGCGCGCTCAGCGGGCGCAGCCCGTCGGACGGACGAGTCGACGAGATGTTGGCCAGGATTTCCAGCGCACGCTTGTCCCAACACCGCTAGTGGCCTGTCACGATAAGACGTGCCAGTCGTCTGAATATTCAACAGACATCGAAATAGCCGAACGATCCCTGTGAACTGCCGACTCGCTGCACCTCCGAGCAGTTGTCAGACGGAGGCTCCCCTGCAACTCCGAATTGCCATGCAAAGGCAATGTGTTGATGTGCAAATTCCATTCGTGCAACGCACTTCACTACAGTGGAGTGCGGATAGTCTCGACTTGCGAATCTGGCCAGACTAGAAACATGCCAGAACATATCGTTCCATCACTCGTCACTGCGCGGCTGACGCAGTATTGCTCAGGACCACGGGAGAGGTCTTACCCCACCTGGAAGAGTGACAGCTATCTCAGGCAGACTACTGAAGTTAGAACCATGTGCTTTGATGACGCCATACTCCAGAAGCATCCTCTGTGCGAGAATCAACTCCGTGCAAACATCAATGACAGTGTCCATTGGACCAAGGACTGTTTCCCAATCGTGGGGTCCTCCAGAAGACAGAACACTTCAGTTGCAAGATGGGATGGTCCTGTGGATGTTTCTCTGGCACGATTTTGAGCCGTTTGTCTTCTGATGTAGTGGGGACGCAAAACACATCTCCTGCTTCATCAATTTGGTTTTTGGTTTGCACCGCCCAGTGTAATCGGGCCCGCTGGAAAATATGCGATGTACTGCTCCAAACTGCCAGCCGCAAGAATCTCCATCATGGGTCGCTACCAAGAGATTGCACACAAATGTGCAGACCAAGCTGCTCTACACTCCGTGCCCGTCTTCATGAGCTCCAGTAAGACATGTTTGGCAATAAATGCAATCATGATACGTTGCCGCCGTCACCGTTACACCTGGGGCCGTAGCTAGACTCCCATTATGCAACATAATGTTGATCGTGTCCTTGTAAGCTGCTCCGTTGACATAATTAGCCCGACCCGCACGCCATTGACTGCGGAATTCGTGTATACGGCGGTGGATGAGCTAGCTTTCTGGCGAATAAGCAGTCAGACCTGGCGCACCCTCGATGTACCCGCGCTTATGATTTTCATCCAGAAGATCTGCGAGCCAGCATCGCACTCGACGACAGCCAATTGGCCCGGGGTCAAAATAGACATGTTCATGTAAGGCGTCCAGCCGTCTGCGGTTGCTATACAACACCACCTTCAATGAAGTCCGGCCGTATCGTGGTAGCACTCACTGCGTGTCGCGATGCGGACCCACGTGGTGGGTCACAGAGTCACAGAACGAATGAGCAGTGACGACTCTTCCGCCCCTTCTCCTTCCGACGGAGCTGAATTGCAGATGCCTGGGCTTGTTTAGGAATCACACTGACCAGCTACACCTGCACCCCAGTGTTTCTCCCTGACAAGATGTCCGTCCCGAGTCGTTCTCTGACGGCCGCGTGGCGCAAGAAGGGCCCCGAAGAGGCCGAGCAGAGCGAGACGCCTCAGGACGCCATTCTTCACGGTGATCCAGGATCAAATGTCGCCGCCCGAGTCGCCGACCTGGGGCCAGGCTGCGTTGCCTGATCCTGTGAGCCCGTGCCTACGAGGGTGGGCACCGAGGACCCACAGCACGCCCGCTGCGTCGCCGTTCGCCTCCTCGCGCTCCGGGCGCGCGCTGGCGAGTCGGGAAGCGCTGCGGATCCCAGTCTGCACCGTCGGCAACTCTCGAGGGCCCACAAAGGACGTGCGCGCCTGGCCACGTACATGAATACAGCGAGGCCTGCCTCATGTTACGAACGTTCGCGCAACGCATGCTTTCGGAAACCCGCGTGAATTCATGTACGCGTGCGTCCTTTCTTTGGCTCCTGAAACAGCTCCATGCACAACCTGCGACTCGTGAGCCCATTCGACGCCGATGCAGCCACAGCGCTTCCCACTCTGCCCCCGCGGGGCAAGCAAATCTGAAGGAGTCCGATTGAGCCCGAGCATGGCAGGACCTGGTATGATTAAGTCTTAGCATGAGTGCGAGCGAGCATGAGTACGAGTGGGTCGGCGCACGATGGAGCATGAACATGGACAAGTCTGAATATGATGATGAATCCATGTGGATGCGTTTGAATATGTATGAGCGGATCTGAATACAAATGAACCTGAATATGACTGGGTATGAACATGAATGGTGGAGCACGAACGACTGGATACAAAATGAATCCGGAGGGCAGGGGGAAGGGGGGAGGAGGCAGGAGGCATGCGACGACACACGAGAAACAAGTACCGATGCACCCGGCGCCGAGGCCGTTCCAGGGCGCTCCGGAGCGCTCTGAGAGCGCTCCGGAAGGCTCTGGAAGCGTAGATCCGGTCCCAGCCCCGCCTGACCCCCTCCACCCGGCTTCCGCGCGAGGCACAAGGCTTACTCCGAGCTCGTCCAGAAGCGTGGAGGGGCGCCACCCCCGCCGACGGCCCCACATCGACCGCCGTCGCGGGCAGCCCCCGCGCGCCGAAGGAGGCGCTCCGGCCCCCGTCGCGGCGCGACGACGAGGCGAGGTTCACCCCCGCCGGGCGGATGCCCCCCCACGCTGATCAAGAAGCCCAGAGCACCCATCACGGTGCCGCTGCACCTCAGCGCCACCACGGCGGCCAGAGAGGCGAGGACGGCCGAGAGCTAGAGAGAGTGCTCCGGCGGTGCTGGGGACACGGGTTGGGGGGCGCGTCGTTCGACGTTACTGAGGGGGTATTGACGTCTGGATTTGGGCTGCTTCGGGTATTTTTTGGAAGTTTTTTGAAGCGTTTTTGGACCGTTTGTTTGAACGTTTTTTTTTACTGTTTTGAACACGTTTTTAAAGCGTTTTTGATGTGTTTTGGAAGCGTTTTTGTTAGTTTTTTGTGTTTTTTGGGGGCACGTTTTCATTCCGTGCGTTTTCGGATGTTTTTTGAAGCGTTTTTTTTGCGCGTTTTTGTAAGCATTTTTGGAGCGTTTTGGGAGCGTTTTCGGCACGTTTTTTGATGTGTTTTGGAAGCGTTTTTGCTAGTTTTTTTTTTGCTTTTGGTGACACGTCTTTGGGGCACGTTTTCATT